GCGCGCCGCCCCCCGGGTCCCACAGAGCTGGATCTCCTCACGCGCGCCCTGCTGGAGAGCGCGGGAGTCGCGTCGCTTCGCGCCACGCACCCCCTAGTTCCCCAGACAGACCCCAGCGGGAGGCCGCTCGGTCCTGCCTCACACACGCACAGGTCTCCTCCCACGCGCTTCCGTGGAGCTGGGTTGTCTGGAGAGTGAACCAAACGGGCACGCTGCGCGGAGGTCGCCGGCCTTCCCCGTGCACTGCGAGGGTTTCCCACTCGCGCGCGCGCACCCAGCTTCTCTGAACACGCGTGTCACGTTTCCCTCAGCACACTCCTGGGTGTCGGGCGGGGTAGTCCCGGGGGGCTGCTTCACTCCTGGGGGCTCAGACAGGGCGCTCAGCACCCCAATTCCCTGGCTCCTGACGACCGCACTGGGGAAGCTGCAGATAGCTGGGGGATCCTGTGAGGTACGCGTGGTCTGTGTAGTTGGGTGCGTTAGAGCCGGGGCATGGTGTGTGTGTGGGTGTACGGTGCGCTTAGTGTTAATGAAATGTGTAGATATGCGAGCGTGTGATGTGTATGTGTAGGACTGTGTGTGTGTGTGCGTGTGTGGCTGAACACGCTGTGTGTACAGTAGTTGGGTGCGCATGTGTCCGTGGCATGGGCATTAATTACACAATGTGTATATGAGTGTGTGTGGTGTGGGCAGCAGTGTGGCGTGCTGAGACTGCCTGGTGTAGAGAGGTGGAGTAGGGCACAGTGTGGGCACTCGGGGAGGACTCGTGTCTGTCTGTTTTCGAGTGTTAATACCCACCTGGCGGGAGTGGCTGGCCCCCGGATGGTGGCCGAAGCCTACCACACAGTCTGATTGTATTCTTCCCTCCTGGCCACAAGTTCCTCCAAATAGATTTTCCATGCCAAGCTGTACTGCTGGGATGTGACCTCAGGCTGGATTCAGTGAAGAGAAAAAGCATTTGCTTCTAGGGAGCACTGTTGGGAATTGGTGTTTCCCTGCAAACGGGTCAGAACCCAGCCTGGAACACAGAAACGGAGGGGACACCCTCTCCTTATTTTCCAAACCCTTTCCAGAGCACAAGAGAATGCCTGTAATTAGGGAGGTTCAGATAGCAACAAAGCCTTTCGACCCAAATTCCCTGCTGGTTATGCCCTGGTCCCTTTTCCCTTTATTCTTTTCCTGCTTTGTGTAAACGAAACACTCATCCTGGTTTGAAAAAAAACAAATTCATCCTCAAGCCTTGAAAATCCTTGCTACCATAAGCAATCTTCATAATTTTCCCTTTTATTTAACCTTGGCTTGAGAAGGGAAATTAAATTTGCATGTATCTGACTCTAGTGAAACCTTCATTTATTAGGGGCTAGGAAGAGATTCAATTTGGTGGCAAAGGTATTTTCAAGAACTGTCTAAGTCACTAACTGTGGTTCCTCATCAACATAACGCTGAAACGCTTGTAGACATGAGGAATTGTCTCTTCACTCTCCTTCCCAGGTGCCATCCCTCTACATCCTAAAATGCATCGTTGACTCATAAAATCCATGCTGTTAAATTCATATTCCAAACCTGCCTCAGAATAACATAAGCAAAAGGAAAAGAAAATCAAAGGAATTCACACTTACTACTGTATCATGCCAATCAAGAATTTTTTTTAAACAAAGGGGGATTTCCATCTGCTCTACCCCATTTTCTTGTTCTCCAACCTATAAACTCCCTGCACTGTTGTCCGTATCTTAGAAGACCTAATAAAATAATCCCTCCAGGAATACTTACAACAGCATAACTGCTGTTGGCTTTTACTCTAGGTTGAACCGCGTTATAAGATTCCACTAAATGTGAAACATAGTATCTTGGAAAAATGAGCAGGAGAAAAATGCAATACAGCATGTTAGCCAAGAGGCAAAAGTAAGTCACATGATTTACATTAGTCACATGATTAGAGGCTGAGAAGTCTCTATATTTTCTGTTCCATGAAATCATTGCACCCTTTGCCCTAAAGACGTTACACTAATCTCTTGCATGGAGCAGGAGGAGATAAATACTCCAACCTATCATATATACAGCTTTCAGGATGTGTTGTCAGGATAGAATTTTTGTTATGGAATCCCAACCTATACAAAAGTAGATAGGATTATATGACCAAACTTGTGCTCATCACCTGGTTTCAATACTTATTAACTCATTTAGAAAATCTTGTTTCATCCATAGCTCTATCCACTCCTCAACCTCCACCCTGCCACCAATATTTTGAGGTAAATTCCAAACAATGTAATCCCATTCATAAATATTTCAGTATGTATCTGTAAGGGAACTTTTAAAAACCATAACACACAATACCAATGTGGTGGTTAATCTTACTCATGCCACCTTTCTTGGCTTGGGAGCTGCCTAGGAGATTAGTAAAACACTTCTGGATGTGTCTGGGTGGGTCATAGAAGCCTAACTTTGCATACACTACATGGTCTCTGGTTTCTCCTCTAATGCTGTTTCCTGGCCACCAAGCATTTGCTCTGTCATGCCCTTCTGCCATGATGTTTCTGCCTCAGAGCCTGCTGACCATGGATTGAATCTCTTGAACCGTGAGCCAAATTAAACCTCTCCTCCTTTAATTTGTAGGTGTTAGGTACTGTGACTCAGTGATGGGAAGGTTGGCTAATACAATCAGTACCACATAATAGTATACAATGTGATCATAAAAATGAACATGTCCAGTAGCTGTTGGCTACTTCTCTATCTCCCCTTTAACAATATACTTCTCTTTTTGCCTAGAACACCCCCATCTTCTCTTCACCCTGGCTTACCTCTTTATCTTCAGTTCTATTTCCTCAAGGAAGCCTTCTTAGACTAACCCAGGCTAAGTTACATACACTCTCCATTCACATCACTTATCCCAACTTTAAACAGTAAGGAGTTGCTGGACTAATAATATCTTTTCCCATTTATCTCTCTTCCATCACACACTGTAATGTGCCCTCCTTGAAGGCATGAACATGGCCTCTTCTTGCTCACCATCTTGTTCCCAGTAATTAGCACAGAGAATAAATAAACTTCAAAGTAGCAAAAATAATTCCATTTGAGGCTCCAAAAGGCTAGAAAGTTAATTTTAAAATTTACCAAATTTAAATGTGCCAAATGTGAATAATTCATGTACTTATTCTTATAACCACACCCTTGAACAGGCCCCTCCCACAGTGACTCAGAGCTTAGATGTGTATTAGTTACCTATTGCTGTGTGACAAATGACTCCCAAATTGCAACAGCACATAGTCTCTGTGGATAAAGAACCCAGACACTCCTAGTCAGATTGTCTGCTTCAATAACTTGTATGGGCAGCAGTGAAGGTATGGAACAGGTCTGTATTCTCATTTAAAGGTTCATCTAAGGAAGATTGCCTACAAGCTCACTTACTCACTGGTTGTTGATCGGATTCAGTCTTTTAAGAAATTGCTGGGCCCAGACTTCAGTTTCTTACTTCTTGTTGAGTTTCTCCATGGGCACCCCCACAGGACAGTTGACAGATAGCATCTGGCTTTATCAGAACAAGAGTGTCTAAGAAAAGTCAGGCCTGGGGATGTAGCCCAGCAGTAGACTGCTTACTTAGCATCCCTGAGGCCAGGTTTGAGTCCTAACATTGCAAGAAAAGAATAAGTGTGTCATAGTGTTTTATAACCTAACGTAGGCAGA